CAAAAACTACAGACCAGACTCATAATGTTGTTGAGCTTGGATAAACATAAAGACACTTCTGCAATAATGTCAAGAAAATGGCAAGGATGCCATCACTCAGAATCAATTTTGACTTGGAAAGCATTTCTACTCATTGACCTTGATGGGGGTAACGTTAAATAACAGATATTTTTGATCAAGCCAAAAGCCAAGCTGGTTCAGCAATTTTTTCCACCGTGTTCAATCAAAAGTGCCTTTGGAAGCTTTTAGAACACAATTTGCAATAAAGCAATTGGTAGTGAGGAGCACCATCCCAACCCTTAAGATGATAGATGCCATATCTATGAATTGTAGTGAGTTTTGCAGATAATTTTTCCTGGTACAGACTTCAATGATCACTTAGATTACCTTGGGATACCTGCTATATATTCTCTGCAGTGACAGCTGCTCTCTGGATTAGGGTTAGGGTCTCCAGAATTGGAGACCCTAACTGATCCCTAATCCATACATCATCAGCTTTTCACATCCTGGTGTATTTATATAATTATTTTCAAGGTCTTATAATAAAAGGCCAAAAAATAGTTTGTCTAGTTCCTTAATTAGTTTATTTTTTTGGATCAAAGTTAGGCTGTGAAAGCGGTATCATGCATGGCTCTGCTTTTCTTCATTCAGTTCCTAGCAAACTCTCTTCACAGTGAGTCAAACCAGTTATTCTTCAATGTAATATGATGATTAGTCCTGTTTACAGTAGACTGCTTACATTTCTCTTGTGGTTTGCCATTCTGGGATAACTGCCTTTGGGGGTGTGCTCTCTGCTGAAGTAGATCAGCAAAAGCTCCCTTGATTGTTAAGAGTAATAAGGATTGGGCTAATGGGGGAGATAATACAACCTCCTTCCATAAATAGGGTCCTATATTCATTTGGTGCAAGTGTACAAGCATGGCACCTCATCTACTCTCTATATTACCAACCTTTCCTAAATTACTGTTCAACAATCAAAAGTCTCATAATGAACGGCAAAGCATCCCCAGCCACAAGTTTCCCATTACCAAAAAACAAAAACAAACAAACACTCTCCATTGAGTCCTAGTTTACATTTACATACCCTGTTTCCCCCCCAAATAAGACATCCCCTGATAATAAGCCCAATCGAGCTTTTGAGCGCATGGAATAAGGCCGAGCGCTTATTTCAGGGTTCAAAAAATATAAGACAGGGTCTTATTTTCGGGGAAACATGGCATATGGTACTATATGTTAAGATCCATATACTGAAAACTAATTTTCATCTGAGCAATGTATTATGAAATAAATACATCTGTTTACTCAATTCTTACATCTACTCTTAGTATTTTCAGTTTCTATGCTGAAGATTTTGAATAGGGTCTTTGTCAGGAAACAATCATATCCTATAATATCAGGCCATTGGTAGAATTTAACTCAAATAGACTTTCCTTCCAATGACTACCTGCCCTGATGATTGTATCACAAAATCGCAGGAGTGCTTATGCAGCTCGCAAGATGTATCTCCTGCAAGAATCTGGGAAAGCAATGTGGGGAAACCTCTAAGTAACTCTTTGGGCAGAGTAGGAAGAACCATTTAGAATGGCTGAAGAATGCAGAAGCAATCTAGAACAGTAAGATCAGTAGCACTACTTCAAACATAACCGCTATTTTTTTTTTAGAAATTAACTATCTTATTAAAAAACTAGTATCTCAAGTCAAATCCTAGTCTAAACCTCAGAATTCTTTCTTTGGACAAAAAAAATCTTCCAAGATACAGAAAACTGATATTAGCATGTTCTAATATTAGCCACAAAAGTACAGAAAGGAAACAATATGAACCAGAGCAACTTTCAGGGATTAAGGTGAAACAAAAGCAAGTCGGACCACATTTAAAATACAAAACAATACTTTTCTTTAAATTAATATTAACGAGCAAAAGTTGTTTTGTATACTTTTAAATGTTTAGAAAATGTCTCTCTTCTCTCACCAAAAAGCATGCTTTATTAACTCACACCCGTTCATACATTAATAGGAAATTTACTGTGTCTGTTCAGCAGTTAATGATTTCCAGACCTCATTAGCCCAATAAGAGTGACCGATTACCAGAAATGACAAGAAGGTTATCTCAACATGGCTGTAGCTTAAGATCGTGTTGCCTCTGCTTCAGCTTCTATAGGTATTTCACCCTGAAAAACCTTATAAGTTGCAAAAGTTCTTTTTGGAGGATTGGACTGGAAAGATAATGGAAAATTATTCCTTCGTCATCAAGCAAAGCACATGTGGATGAACACAATGGTATTTGTACTTTATGTAGAAAGCAAGCTGACCATATGTCGTGTTGCAGGCTTTCAAGTGTGCAATGTAATACATATTGGATGACTTTGGGCCAGCCACTTGCTCTCAGCCCAATCTACCTCACAAGATTGTTGTGGGGGAACACAGGAAAGAGTATTGTGTGTGTTCACCGCCTTGAGTTATTTGTAAAAAATAATAAAGGCAGGATATAAATAAGATAAAATAAATAAAATTCTCTCCAATAAAACTCTTAGGCAGGGTTACACTCAAGTTGTAATAAAGCAGAGAATCAGGGATATAAATTTGGATAATGGGCAGATAATGGACTTGGAAATTTAAGTTCTATCATTCCAGGATGGATTTGGGTTTGAGGGTGCTGGGGAGGGGGAGGGGAAGTGGGGAGAGACCAATGGGGCAAATCTTATCTTTGCTCTGGAAGTGACTTAGAGGGAAGGAGGGAGGGGGACGAGCAGATTTCCCCCTCCTCTCTGTTCACCTCGCCTTCCTTAGAGAGAGCAGCTCCTCTTGCTGACTCGTAAGCTGCCAAGATGACCTTCCACTCATCCTAACGTCTTTCTCTCAACTTGGGGGGGTGGGGGGGAGATGGATCTCTCTTCCTGCAGGTGTCAGCATCAAGCAGGAGGCGCCAGCTTTTGAAGGCAAGGCCGCTTTGTACAGTTTCACGCTCGGGCTTCACACACTGCTTTCCTGCAGAGCCTTACAAGTTAATTGTGTGGCAATGCGCCAGCAGCTGCTTCCATCTCAGCGCTGGCAGGTCAGATTAGGAAGGACGTCCTGGCAGCTTGCCCGCTGCCATGATCACAGGAGAAAGATGAAGAGCTCTGTAAAGCAGAGACCTCAGTGGTGGTTGAACTCACCCCCCCCCCCCCCTTTTTCCTTTGCCTGCTGCTCTGGCAACCAAACAAAGCACAAGACTAATTGTAACTCCTGCCTGACACGCCGTGTCCTAGATTTAACCTACCTCAATCAATCATGCACACACAGAGGTGTGTGTGTGTGGGGGGAGAAACCCCTCCCAGCAAATAAATGCGGAATTATTTTATGAAATGGAAGGTAATTTGCAAAGCAGCCTCTTAACCTGTCTGCCTCTTGGAAGAACCACCACCTTTGCTGGAAAAGGAAGCCAAGGGGGGTGAGAAGGGGGAAGAACCGTTTCCCACAAGCTCTCTCATTTCGGGGGCAGCGATGACTGCTACATTCAGAGTAATGATCCGGACGGCTTATTTAAAAGCCACTAACTGCTTTTAAGGAGCACTTTGTAAAGCAATGCGAGATTAAAAACTTTGATTTTAATAGGGCCAAAAAGATAGAACTGTCATCCCAAAAAGCATCCAGTAGTGCAGCTACTGAGCCCAAATTATTTTGTGCTGATACAGGCTGGTTTGGTCAGATTTTCCAAATTGCAGCCATTTTATCACTGGGCAACTCAGGGAGAGAAGGCTGCGCCCATTTGGCATTTCCAAACTAAAAATGTACCGCTTTCCTACATTATTACGGTTACATAGCTGCAACTGGGGGATTGCTGTGATCTGCCAAAGAGCCACTTCTCTTAGGCGAATTAATTTCTCCAAAATTCAAGAGGTGGTTTTATTGGAAAAACTTTTCCTTTCACCTTGTGCTTCCGTTTGTGACCTTGTGACTGCACATGAAAACCAGCCTCATTAAGAGAGTCTTAATGAACCAACCCCACTTTGTCAATATTAGTTCAATGGGGTTTTACTTCCTTTTTATTTAAAGGAAAAATATTTGCCCTCTCGTATAACTCACATTCTTTTGTGTTCTTTTAAGTTCAGATTTCACCTGTTTGTTTCAACCATGGCAATTTTGTTGTGCTTGGCACTTACTGGACCATCAGCCTAAAAGTTCAAATTATTTTTTTACAGCATCTAGCTCTGAATACAAGAACATTGTTTATTCAACTTCAGTACTGGACTGGATAATTCCTTCTTTCTCTCTCTCTCTCTTTTTTTTTTAAATAGCCACAGGTCTCTAGTACTACAAAGAGAAACAGAAGTGTGAGAAATGTTATTCTTTCTTTTTATTAAGTATTCTCTTTCACAACATTTTATTTTCCCACCGCCTATTGCCACTGAATGCTATGGAGGCTGGGAAGGTGGATTTTATTTAATAGAAAAGAGTGTACAACAGCTCCAACGATGGCTACTGATGCTTTCAAATTGGCACACGCTCTGCTCTGCAATTTCTACACCAGAGCTCCATCGCTAAGTTTCAGCTCTTGGGGCAGAATTTAATTATGCGAAATTCAAAGCGCTGGCCTGCTATAAGCTTACAATGGCAGCAGCCTCCCTCCTTTTCTTTCCACCGGGGACTTGACAGAACCGCCTGCCCTCTTTCAGAGAAAATGTATACCTCTCAAAACAAAATAAAGAAGAAGAAAAAAAAAAGAAATATTGCAACCCAGAGTGCTTCTCATCCATCAGATAAAAGGGAAGGAGAGAGATTTGGAGGAAGACGCTTCTGATGGTTCCTTTGTGCAGCAGCTGCTGTTGCCATGCAGTGATCCTTGTTGCTATGAAGATCTGTGTGTCAGACAATGGGCTTTTTTTTTTTTTCTTAACTGCAAGCCCCACTGCTATTGGCTGAGATATTTCCCAGGTGAGCGGCAATGGTACTTCAAGCCTCAGATTTTGAAGGTGGCTGAAACGGGTTTGCCTCCAACCTGGAGCAGGTCTGCGGCCATCAAAACCCCTCCTCTTCCATTACTGGCTCCGCGCCAGATGGCATCCATCACAATTAGAGAGGAAATGGGAACCAGGCGGCTGGCAAGGCTGTGAGTGGAGGGCTGCGTTTTGCTATAATTAAATCCATTAATGATCTCAGCAGATCAGAATTGCACGTAACAGAATTAGAGAAACTGCTACGATTGCCGCCTTAAATGTCTTTACAATATCCTTGCTGTTATTCAGCATAATGTATTTCTGCAGGAGGCAGTACAAGCAGTACCGTACTTAGAAGTCTGTTTACTCAGCGAAAAGAGCAGATGGTCCTGAAAAAGCTCTCTCTGGAGCCGCAAGGACAAGTGGTACAACTTGCGCAGAGGTCAATAATTTCAGAAGAGACAAATTTAGCCGTTAAGAACTCTGAACCGGTTGTTGTTTATGCCGGTAGGAAACATCCCCCTCCCTTTGCGTTGGGGGGGGGGGGGGGGGGGGGGGGGGGGGGGGGGGTGTCCTTTAGACTCAATTAAGGCAAAAGGGAACACATTTCTTAGTTACCGGTAATTGACTTGTAATCAGTTCAGAGGCAAGAGTTCTAATTTATCAGCGTTATCAATGAACTACATGTTTCGTTATAATGGAAACTGTGGCTTCAGCAAAACTTACAAATGGAGTCTTTAGTGCTGAAAATAAGCCCGGTGTCTAATGTCATGTGTGAACTAAGGCGCTGGGTAAGTAGCCCAACTATGCAAACAATTGCATTAAAATGTTCACTTTGCTTCCCAGACATTGATGTTGTTAGTGGTACTTGGCATCTCAAAAATTGTAGAGAAAAAGAAGAGCCAGCATTTTTTTTTTAATCTTCTGCTTGCTCACCTAAAAGAGACTTGCTTGCCACGAACAGCAAAAGTAAATGAATAAGGATTACGGCAATCTGTTTTCTGGCTTGGCATCATGTATCATATAGGAGAAGTGCCTTCATCAGGCAAAATTGTAAATCATCACCTGAAAGCCAAGTACCATTGCTAATTAGGCAGCCAACGTCTTGCCCAGTACACAATTGGAAAACACATACAGCAATAGAATAGTTCAAAATCGATCCAAAGGATGGCAAAGACTTTTTTTTTTTTTTGTGAGGATTACATTATTTTTCTGACAGTATGAACCACGGCACAGCTGGAGTAATGTGGCAGACAAGAACTCTGCACGTTTACAGTGAGTGCAGGCTAAAATTAGTTAAGCTGCAGGAATCACAGAATAATCTCTAGGCAAGATCTGAAATTATAGCTGCTAGAAAAGGGTAATTCTGCAAACGCATTAGAGATAGTAATAAGTGGGAAAGGATGAGTATCATCTCATTTGCCTCCTGAAGTAGTTTTCTCTGAATGTAGTGTGTAATGTGCTCAGATCCTGATTAATGCACAAACCTTCTTGACAATTTCAGGAGTTCGGCTAGGGCAGGGGTCTGCAACCTTAAACACTCAAAAACCCATTTGGACCCGTTTCCCACAGAAAAGAAAACACCGGGAGCCACAAAACCCTTCCCGTGCCTGACTATTTCTTGAGCGGCCACACAACTAGCATATGTAATTGAATTAAACGTTCTGTTTTCTTCTGAAACTTTTCTTTTCCTGGATTTATCCATAGTTGGCCTACCGGGGGTTGAAAAGCTCAATAAATCGCGTGCCGGTGGGTGTCGCACATTGGCAGTTGCAATGCATATTTTGAGTGACAGGGAGCCACAGCAGAGGGGTGAAAGAGACTAGGGCTAGGGTGATGGAGCTTCGGTTTATTAGGATACAGGTACCAGTTCAAAACCTGACCAATTTGACAATGGATTGGCCCTTCCTCTCATCAACAGCCAGGGAATCAATATTTGGAACTGCCACTAGCAACAAATTGTTAACTCAACACCTTAACTCAACTTGATATCTAACAGAGCTATCAAATGGTAAAAGTAAGAACTGTCTGGCAGGTTCACCTATTCATTAGAATGTTTTTAAGTTATAGAGAAAAAGAAAACAATCAGCAGAAAGCCAAATATTCCCGAGATGATAAAGCTGAGTGATGCTTTTTTCTGATCTTTAATCAGTCAGCTTCTCACACAAGCTCCTGGAGATACAAGTCTGTGCGCCAAGTAAGTTTGGAAAGAACATTTGTCAGCATGTCTTTGTCTTTCCAAATTATAACCTCTCAGAATCTGTCAATTCCACTCTGACTGGCATCAAATCAAAATGGATCAGTAACAGCCAAGGATATGCATTTTGCATCTCAGCAAGATGCTTCTTTGTATCACTCTCTCCAAAGATAATTGACTACCTCCCAATTGTTACTGGCTCCTTGCCAAGGCAAATCATACCTCTTCAGAAGTTTCTAAAGGGGTAGCGGCATTAATCTCTTGCAGCAAAAGCAACCAAAAAAAAAAAAAAAAAGAGTTTTATGTATCTTAAAAAGACATTTTTGTGGATGAGAATCTGGTGGGAAAGCTGGTGGAAGACGACATTCTAGCTTACGAAACAAAGGAGGGCAACTCCTTCCTTTTTGAAATGGAAATCAAAAGTTTCCCTCCAATTTAGAATATTTGCACATCTTACAAACATTTTACACTACGTTCAGAGGTGCAAATATTAAAAGAGTTTAAACTGAACAATGACTGGAAAAGATGGCTTTAGAAAATGCAAGCCTTTAAACAAAGAACAGATTCATGAAGCTTCAAATCAATGCATTCATCTTTTTGACTCCAGAACATAGAACCACTGTAAGCATATACATGTGCAAACCTGCAACTTACAGTGGTGGTATGATCTACTACATTATATCGATCAGGTGGCTAGCACTGGTCTAAAACAAGTATACTAAAGGACACCTACCGTCTTCTGTCTCCTGCCACACGATGCCTTCCAGATTAACGCTGGTGCCAGGTTCACAGGGGCCCAGGCACTCTGGTTCAGTAGCTAGTGCCACATCACAGGTGTTCACCCCTACAGAGCGAGTGCGTACCATTATCTGTTCACATGGTGATGAGATATCACTGTTAACAACAGGGACAAGAAGATGCAGTGGTAGCACTGCAGGGGTGGACACGGGAGACTCCATCTGGAAAAACAGAAAATGAAGCAGTCACAACTGAGGCATACCAACGATTGAGGGGTCCCTGGGTCCCACCACCACATGTATCTTCCCAAACTAGGGCTCTTTCACAGGTCCTACACTTGACCTTACCTTCACAAATGACTGTAGTAAGTTCTTGTCTAGCGTATTTATCAGCGAAGAACAAGCTCTAGAGCAGGGGTGTCCAACTTGGACGACTTTAAGAGCTGTGGACTTCAACATGCTGGCTGGGGAATTCTGGGAGTTGAAGTTCACAAGTCTTAAAGGTTGGACACTCCTACTCTAGACGGCCTGACTTGGCCATTTTGACTAGCTATGGAAAAAGCTTTAACCTTTCCCCAAGAACACCTCCGCTCAGTTCATGACACAACTATATCCATTCTCCAGCTCTTGCCTCTGTGTTATGCTGCCAAACCAAAGGATATTCATTTGGAGAGAAAAAGAGATAAAAATCTAGGCAGACAAGTTTATTTACGTGTTTAAAACATTTATAGAGCTGTCCATTTTATATCAAACTCTGGGCAGCTCCCCATGAAAATGCTTCGTGCAAGTTTATGCCTGATTTGTGCCACTTTAGACTTCAGATAGGATTTTAATAGGGAACAAATGTTCCTCCTTGATAATAGGATTCTTACATGCAGCAAACTAACATCGTAGACATATACAACTTTCTCCTTGACACTCTAGGCTTTTCATCTAAGGGTACACATGACAGTTCAATCTCAAAGCCTCTGTCTGGTGAAGGACTGGGGTTTCCTATGGAAAAGGCACTCGATGCCTGCCATCAAGTGTCCATATTGTTATTCACCCAACCCAGGGATCTAGCTGTTGCACATAGCAAAGCATTCTCACTCTCCCAATTTAAGCATCCACCAGAGAAAGTTAACAGGTTTCTAGGTTGAAACATGAGCTGCAGTGTAAGAAAGCTGGCTGCTCACCCAGAGCGCACTCCTTCCATAAAACAAGGCTTCCAACTTGGCTATTGTTGTCCCTCGCATCATCTACTAATTCGAGAACTCCATGACATGTCACTCTGCAGTTAAGTGATGGTCTGAGTGTCTTTTGGGTAAGTGCAGACACATTCCAGCCAGGGAGATAAAGCCTTCAAGATGTCACTCTGGGAAATCTGCCCACTTGCTGCAGATTGGAGCTTGGCTTTTGGGTTTCGGATGAGCCCAAAGCTCATCTCCTTTGCCAAAAGATAACCTGCATCCTCTTTCCCGTGAGTATTGGTGACCATAAAATCAGAGGTTATTTATGGAACACGACTGCCAAGAGCCACACACACTCATTCAAACTAATTCTGTTTTTGAACGGTTGCCAGATCCTTGGTTGCTGCAAATTCTCTCTCTCTCTCTCACACACACAGAGCTACCACTGTCTTTTTATGAAGCAATTAAACACAGTGAAATGGAGCAAGCTGAATCTTGCATGCTTAGTGTTGCTTGTCCAGAACATCAGAAGACCAGCTATGCATTTTTTTTTCTTCTTCTTACAAACATTTTTGAGGAGGGGAAGAGTTGCAGCCCTGATTTATTAAACTGCTTCAACTGACAGGTACAGCCATGCTTAGAAGATGGTAGAATTATCTTGAAGCCCGCCAGGGCCTCTGCTGGACCAGGAAGAGGGGGAAATGCTTGTATTTATCCTTCAGCGCACACAATCTCATTAAATCTCTCCCATCGCATAAGCAATAACTGAGGGAAACAGCTGTCTACCCTCTGGCAAGGTTCGGTGCCCAAGAATGTAGGCACTGCTGAGTTCTGGGAATGGATTTTCACTTCCAGTCAAGTTAACACAGCAGGGGGAAAAAAATCACCCAGAGTGTCACTGCCTGCTTGCCTGCATTAAGCTCTTTTTCTTCTGTGTACATGTTTGCGCTGGACAGCTAGCCAAACAAAGCCGATCTTATCTGATCAACGTTTAATACTGTCTGCCTTTTTAATCTGTAGTGATCGAGCTGGCTATGTTTGTCCAGGCAGATAACAGAAGCTATACCCTGTTTTTTTTTTCAAGGGCAGTAAGCCATACCTCAGATGTGCAAGCTCCCTGACGTAAGCCCCTATCTGCAAGGCGACCGGCGTTCTTAGCATAACACAAATCTCCCGCTCTCCTTGAGTTTGTCTATGTGCATTTGTGTATGTAAGGAGTGGAGCAACTTACATTTTGCTGAACAGGATCCTTGACCCTGTGGAGTACCCTTGTGGAGGCATATTGATGTATTTAGCTTTCTGCTCCGCTTAAGGGAAGAATGGCACAAGGAATGAAGGATAAACATGGTGCCCTGTTCTCAGCTAAGCAGAAATTCTAGGCACTCCCAGCACAAAAAGCACAAGAGCAGTCGAGGCAGCCAGGCCCTTCACAAGCAACACATTATTACAGCTTTATCATTGCTAAGATTCCAGAAACAGAAGTCAATCCGTATTTATTTGATCAATGTCCAGCAAAATTTAACAGAACAAAAACAGAGTGACGCAAATAAACACAATAAGGTATTAACAGTCCATGTATACGAGGGTTTCCAGGGGAAGGAACAAGGAAGGCTGTATTAATCAAAGATACCAAACTACTTCCCTTCTTTTTTTAAAAAGCAGCTCTGACAATAGTAACTGAAGGAAGGAATTTTTGATTCTAACGCTACATACTGGATTGAGTCTCTCATAAGGGGGCAGTAGGTGGAGTCCCAACATTGGCAGCTGAAGGTCAAGCTTTTACCACCAGAGAGAATAAAGGAGAGACTTCTGCCTGCTGTTTGGGACAGAAGAAAACGAACCTAATCAGCTGCTCCAGAAATCTTTATTCTCTAATCCCGAGCAGATGTTCCTTCCTTCTCACGTATTACAGCAAAACATTTTGGCAAAGAACTAGGGGCAGTCAATTTGTCTTGGAAGATGGAAATTGGTTCACCACAACACTTCCCTGGAGGCAGAGCTGGGGCACTTCTTGAAGTGTTTGAGAGTCAGAAAAGTTGCAGGTTTGCAAACTGTTCAGCTGCTCTTCTACTATGAAAGGTAATCAGTACTCGGCAGAAGAACGCTAATTGCTGCTCCAGCTTTGCTAATTATCATTTGGTCACGTCTGTAATCTGCATTATGCCACAATGCATAATAAGCAGCTTGCTGAGAACCATCTAATAAGTGAGACGCCTTTATGGGATTTCATATTTCACTCCACAGTGGAACAAATGTACTATCATTTATCAGCTGTCGGGGCACAGGAGGAAAAGGGGATGGCAGGTAGCTCAACCTTCCCTGCAGCTTTTGAAAAGATGGGGGGGGGGAAAGAAGAAGAGAAAGCGGAGAGAGTGAGTTCTTAAAAAATTTATGACACGATACATGCTGCTGACCAATGTACATCTGAAGGGGAGAAAAGGAAAGGGAGTTGCTTGTCTATAATTGATCAAGTTTCTGCCTTAAACCAAGAGTCTGAACTGCAAATGAGAAAAGAGTGTTTAAACAAAGCTATAGTTGTGAGAAAAAGTTTGACCTCTTTAGAACTATCTGTAATCC